GTGGCTGATTTCTGAAAATGTTTTAGTGACAGGAAGGTTTGCTGAAACAGCACATCTTATACAGACCTTTTGGCATTCAAAGAAAGAAAACACAGGAAACCCGATTCAAAGAATTAGGTTCACCTAATTCAGGGAACGCAAAGACACAATATGTCATGTACAGGCCCAAATCAAAACAGATTGGAATATAAGTATCTAACATTCACAACGAATGACGCACAAACAGGCAAGACTAGGGCTGTTGGAAATGTTACGTGTTCGTGAACATTTTTGCCATAATTTCAACTTTCTATGGAAAAATCTGCAGGGCTTTCTCCCCACACTAATTTTCATCCAGCTCTACTAACAGCCAAGAATTATTCACAGAAATTATCTGATGAGTAATTTCAAATAATAAATTCACAAATATTTGGACAGTTATAGAAGTACAGGAATTGAAGTAATTGTAGCTGAATAAACTATTCACACAGCTCTAAGAAATCTGCTGTTGTTCACCACTTACAGGGGCTAGATTTAAGCCATTGAGCTGTGACAAGTTTGGCATCCCAATCCTCTCCAAGCCCGCTGAACAAAACCACCACTTCACCTCCCCATGCTTCATAGTATTTACCCAGCTACTGCTCATCCAGCTAACAACTTCACTCAGAAGCAGATCATAATTTCTTTCAGCTTAACCAATTTTTAGAGAACACCAAGACTTTGGACCCAAACTGCATAGCTACCCAATTTCTTTAATTTGCTTAGGAAAGGGTTGTTGGTTTTTTTCAAAAGTCAAGTAACTTAGAACCATTAGGCAAGCTGTATTATTTTCTTTCTTACAAAGTGTGGTGGGTAATAGATACCTTCTTTCAGAAGCCATGCTGATTTGACCCTCAGTATTCATACATAGCCAAGTGCTAAACTATTCTGCCCTCAGGCTCTCTGTCAGATCCCTAAGAGCTATAGCGGGGGCAACTGGCATGGCTATGATTTTGGGAATCTCCTGTCTCTCCCTTGACTGACACTGCATTACTGACTTTCCAACTGTCAGGAACTGTCAGGAACAGCTGTTAGATTTTCAGGATATATCACATGTCCTCACCGGTACCTCAGCTATTTCACACTTTATTCTCTACAGTAATCTCAGACAAGTGTCATCCGGTTTATGTGATTTACTACCCTGCAGGTTCTCCAGTTGCTTTAAAAAACACATGCAGGTCTAAAAAAGTATCTTGTCAAAAATAGCCAAAGTGAGTAAATAATATGGAGTAATGTACTCTTCTTAATCAAAAATAAAATCCATGGTTTGCCGGAAGCAAGTATTTCTACTTCAGCCATACACCTTATATTTGATAAATTATATCTAATCATTAGTAACATGCACTGTGGTACCAGAATTTGCCTCCACTCCCTCACCCTCTCCGCAACACAAGTCAGACTAGTTTTCTTATTCTAATTGTAAATTATTGCTATCAGAAATGCGGAACCATACAGGTGATATTGTTGTAAAACATTTCACACAAAGAATAACGTCCCTCTAAAAATTAGACCCCTCGGAGAAGCTTCAAACTGGGGATCCAAAAGCTGAGGCAACCAACATTATTACTTCAAAATATTCACTCTCAAATCCAAATTTATACACTTAAATAAATGGCCTGAGATGGAGTCAACAGGAGTTGAGATTTCTCACCTCTTCTGAAAATCAAGTTTATTTAGATTCCTAAAGTGAATTTAAATGCCTAACTATAGGCAACTAAATTTGTAAATTTAGGCATAGTGAAGTTACACAGGATTATATTGATCATGAGTGGCAAACCCAGAAGAAAAGTCAAAACTCCAAATTCCATTTGCTTTCTTTTAACATTTTCTTCCAGCAGCGCTGCACAAAAAATCTAGCACATCGACTTTTTTTTTGTAAGGAGGATGGACATGTAGATTATAAGAAATGCATCTGAACACTTTTTCATTCTCACTCAGGGCTGGCCCTACTATGAGATGAACTGAGGCGGCCGCCTCAGGTGCCAGACTGTGGGAGGGTGCCACTGGGACCTAGAGTGTAAAAAATTGTATCTGCTGCTGGTACATATGTAGGTAGCAGAGCAGTACCATGAGAGGAGTCGAACAGGAAGAATGCAGAATCGAGACCTTTCAAAGTTTTGGCCCAAGCGAGGATGCATGGGAGCATCATTTGAGCTCCCTGGCTCAGGTGCCAAAATGTTGTGGGTTGGTCCTGTTCTCACTCACATAAAAGTGTGTTTTTAATTACTAAACAGAGGAGTATTTGGATTTGGCTCAGATGAGCACTCTCAAGGCACAGGTGTTTAGCTGAATTACCCAAACTTCTTGAAATAATAGGATAGGTCTGGAACTCTCATGAGAACAAGATTTCCAGTCATTTCTGCTTCTGTTTGTCCAGGACAATGGGAATATTCAGTGTTGCGCTACTTCAGCACTTCCCCTGCATGCCTCAGCTAAAAGCACCAAGGGAAGGTTGAGTGTGGTCCTAGCAATGAGCACAATACTAATGCTGAGAGAGAGAGAGAGAGAGAGAGAGAGAGAGAGAGAGAAACAAACAAACAAACAAAGGCTTGGTTGCACTTTGAGCCCTGACAGGTTTTTAAGTGAATGCTTATTTTATCATTGATTGTTCATATATCAGAAGCATGAAAAACAAGCACAACAGAAAGGCAAACATTCTTAACAAAAAGGCAAACCCAGGGGATTTCTGCATGTTGTAAACTCAAATAAGGAGCCCATGTTTTCTGTTTTACAAACTTTTCACTTTAAATGGATCACATCCACTCCACAAATGAATCCATTTCTGAGCAACATTATGCTTTAAACGCCAATTTTCCCCATTTGTGAGGGGAAAGAGAAAGAAAAGAGGAGTAGTGCAAAATCTGCAGGATAACAACTTTTCCAGACGAAACAGCAAACATTTATGTGTAAGATTGCATGGAAACATCAGTGCACCATTCAGCTAATTCATCAATTATGTTATTCTAGAGAGCTTGTTTAAATAAATAACAAGATGTCTGGAAGCATCTTGTGAAGAACTATTTGACTTAGTAATTGATATTGGAAATGTAGCCTGGAAGATAAATTCCTTCATAGATTATTTTCTGAAATGTTATTTCTTTATTGACTCAGTCTCTGCTCAGAGGGTGAGGCTGGAGCATTACTGTCCTGTCTCCTTTAAGTGAAAAAAGAAAGCAATTTTTGATGATGAAAAGGAGAGACCTTGTCCGATCACACTAATACATTTCATCATGATATAAGCCTGTTTTTTTACACCTCTGTGAGCATTTTTAGGGAGGACCAAATAACTATTTTCTCCTAAAAACAGAATAAAACGAATATCACTACAAGTGCTGATTAAGAAGCTATGTCTACAAGACTCCTTGAGCAATGGGTGCAATGAAATTTCTTTGCTCTACTAACCATTAAATATTATTCAGTATAAATCCTTAAAAAGTGTTGTTTAAGGTACAAATTCAAGTGCAGCTGAATGTTTGGTCTCTTCTGGTCATCTCTCAGTGAGACACAAACATTGTGGGGAAAGTCCCAAAGCAAATAACATAATGGCAATGGCATGAACCCAAAACTGGAAAGAGAGAGTTTCTGCAAAGGGAGATGTAGCAAAAGATCCAACCACTAGGCAAAGCAGCCCTTCTCAAACAGGGATATAAGCTACACTAAGGGTTGGATGAAAAGCCCACTGAAGTGCAAAAAAAGGCTTTGTGCTGACTTCAGTGAGCTTTGGTCAGACCCTAAAAGGGATAATAGAAGCCAGATTAAAGATGGACCTGAGGCCCAGGAATGTCAAGCTGATGAACCAAGTATTTGCCCCTTGCCTGGCAGGGAGAGGGATGCTGGAGAGTCAAAACTTTTAGGATATATCTACACTACAGAGGAAGATAGAAGCTGCCGCTATTGATCTTCCAGGGTTTAAATTAGCGGTCTAGTTAAGACAGTTAATTCAAAGTGAGTCTATGTCTATACTGGGGGGGGGGGGGGGGTTGGGGGGAAATCCT